GATCATTGCCAGATGTCCACAAACCATCATAAGAAAATTATTTGAAGTTCTTGAGTGATAAGAAAGAATGAATCATTGTGAGGCCACCAACTCAAAACCATTTGAGAATTGAGACATGCTCCCCCATCTCATCAAAGAGGTATCTGGAAACAGATGGAGATCCAGATAAAAGGAAGAAAGAGGGACGCATTCTATGGTGAAAGCTTTGAGTAAAGGAGGAGGAAAGAAAATGGTGGAGGACAAGAAAACACAAGCAAGGAACCAGTGATCATGCAGACTATTGTAGACTTCACAAATGACTATGATCCAAGGGATAAAGGATTCTGTGGAAGCCTAAGTCCCCAATAGAGAGGCAACTCCCTTACAAGTGAGAGAAGGAGAGGATAGAGCATGAGAAACTAATAATTTCATATCCTTTAAAAGAAGAGAAGGGTGGGCCATGTGGAAATGCAAACCGAAAAAGCACCCAAATGAATGAGAAACTAAATAGTCAACCAACCCAGACTCACCACCTCCCACAGGATGAAAAAAGTATTGGTGTTGGAGGCTTTTTGGGACAGAATCAAAATTAGAAAAAAGCATCCGAGAAGTCCACTTGTCACCCCAAGACCTGGGGCAAAAAACCGCCACAGGGTGAGAAAGGTCCCCAGGGTAAATCAAGAGATGTTGAGAAACTGAATGAGACATAAAATGACTAAGACCGGATGCCTAGCTCCAGATTCCTCGAAAACCAAAGAAATACAGGAATAAATCAAGGAAGAGGATGAGAAACACATCTGATAGAGTCTTCAGCCACTAGGTCTAACACTGCCAGACATTGGCAAGAAACAAGATTCCACAACTACTAGCAAATGGAAGGCATAGTTCCGTAAACTTAAGGACACAGGTGAAGTACTCGTGGAGTACAAATACTAAGTATATTAAATATGTGAAGGTTTTCAAGAAGTACATTTTTATTTTATAATGTATAACGTGTCAAAAATGTTATAAGAAAGTGTGGGCAGTAAATAGCGAACCTAGATACCAGATAGGGAAGATGTATGCTTGGGGCCCACAATATTCTAGTTTTGAGCTCTGAAGGCAAGAATTCACAGCTCGCAGAGATGTTATTTTGAAAAATTCCAACGGTTAGATAAAACGCATGACAAAATGAGCCAATGTA